TTTAAATAACTTGAGTTTGTTAGAATGAATAAAATTCAGATTAAGGTTTTTCTGAATTAATCGCCTCCTTCAGCTAAATGTTTTGATTTTCATTAATCATAAAGTCTATCTTCATTCCTCAGCCACAACAGAAAAATGTAAAGAAGTAAAATTGTAAACTTTTTTGATTGATTTAGAACTTATAGCAGAATTGATACTGTTGACACTATTTATAGTGCTGTGAATATTTTTCTTTTCTGTCAAAATATTACCGGTATTGCCAGTCTGTATCCTACCCCTCTTCCCCCTTACAGTGCAGCAACGATGCAGATTCCAACACATAGACAGGTTAGTAATGACAGCTCCCTTGGATTTATATGCATGTTTTTGTTATTAGATTCATTTCTAGCCATAAAAAAACTAAATCTTGATCCTCATCAGGAAGCTCAGGTTAAGTAATGAAGAGAATTAATTTGTAGAACCAAATCTGAAAAAGAAAGTAAAAAATTTAAATATGAAAAAGAGTCTCAAGAAAACAGCCACGATTAAAGTTATTCAAATCTTTTTTTTTTTTTTTTTTTTTTTGTTATCTAGTGGTTTTTAATTTCTGCATTGGATTCTTTTTCATTCTTCACTTACAAAATGCATTACTTTACTTGCAGCAATAATGGAGCAAAATTGACTCCATATAGTAATATAGGAAGTCTGATTTGCGGCCATGTTTTTGGACACTTTTTTTTTTCTTTTTTTCTTTTTATTGCAAAAAAGAACATACAAGAAAAATAAGAATAATATAGAACATTATTAATTACAAACAGATACAACATCAAAGGGCTTTATAAAACAGAGCAATTTTACGATGTCAAAATCAAATCTGTGCTCAAGGGTTGCAAATCTTTAAGGGCAGTTATGATTTTAATGGCTTTAGCATTTGAACTGAATTCTAAGGATTCTATATAGATATTAATAGAAGATAATAAAATCTGGAAATTAGGTTTTTGTTGTTTTTTGGACACACTGAGCCCTGCCTTGTGTTAAAACTTTTAAATTCTAATTTCTAACTTCTAAATCCTGGTTGGGGGTGGGATAGTACGTGGTATCAACATAACATCTGATGTGGTGCCAAAGAATGAGAGAAAAGCAAAATCTGTATGTATTTTTTTTTAATTAAGGTTTTCTGGTTTCCTTGCAAGTTACAACAGATTCACCTCATGTTGTGTTTTAGGTAAATAACATTGGTTTAAAAACAGAACAAAAAAATCCACCGAAAAACAGGAAAAGCAGCTAAAGTCAAAAAAGGAAACGTTTTGATTATGACTTCTTTAATATGTTTAACTTTTGAAATAAGTCAGTAAATGAGATTAAGACTTAAAGGATAATCTTGTATGTTTAAATATTTTTTTGTCTTCTTTATGTTATGTAAGAGATAAATATATTGTTCTGATGTCCTGCAGAGTAAATTGACTATTGTGCAGGTTTAAAACTTATACTTTGAACTAAATATTTGTTTTTAAAATTCATTGTTGCAAATGTTGGTTCCTATTTGTTAGTAAGGAAAGATGACTTTTAAAATGCACCTTCAAACTGAAACTCACTCCATTAGTTAGCCCTAATGACTTCCCTGGAAAATTATACAGAATACATTTCCTGCTTCACACAGGGAAGAAAATAGCTGCACTGAGATTTAATTCCCAATTTCATTTACAAGCGCTGTTTTAAGGAAGTTGTTAATCAGCTAAAACGGTTAGAAACTACAGAGCAGCAGCAGGGAGGCACTTTGGGACACCTAACCTTTAATGTAATAGAAACCAAATTAAAGGAACAGATCAGTTTTCTAGGTATTTGCTGGAATAAATCACCTCTTTCCAGCACTAAGTGCTCGCAGCCAGGTTGATGGTGGGGTCGTATCATGGCATGGGGTGGTATCGATACCCTACAAAGCTAATCCAACTTTTCATTTTGGTAGCTGAAAACACATTGGTACAATTCATGAATTGAATCTACTGTGGAACCAACTACCAGTTTTAGCCCGTGAGGCAGACATCGTGTATACTTTGATGAATAGGCTTAGAAAGGTTCCTTTGTCAAACGTTTACAGGTTATCCTGACCTATCTCTACAGTTATGCTGCTATAGGCTTAGACTGCTGGAGGACATGGTGACCACTTGTTCATCATTCTGCTTCATTTAATGTCTATACTTTATGTTGTCTACTTGTTTTTCTCCACAAAGTAGTTTTTTTCTGTTTTGGTTGTGTTTGGCTGTGACACCATCCTGTAGGGAGTCAGCAGAGCTTCTGCCATTAACAACTCCCATATAAATGATAGAGTTGGGATTTTATGCAGGTGTAGATTCTCAGTCATCCAGGTCATAGTCATTTCAAAAAAGAATCCACTGGCCTTTGTTACCAAGTTTTCAAGATGTTTCGCTTCCCATCCAGGAAGCTTTTTCAATTCAAAATGTCAGAATTAGTTAGCATTGAGAGTTAGCATTGAGGGGCATAGATCAGTATCAGGTATCGCAGACTAACAAAGAACCCAAAACAACCTCAATTCAATGCTATTTCTGACATTTTGAATTGAAAAAGCTTCCTGGATGGGAAGTGAAACGTGTTCAAAACGTGGAAACAAAGTCCAGTGGATTGTTTTTTAACTTTTTTGGAATGATAGAGTTGGGACTGATTTTCAGACTTAAGTCCTGTTTCTCTCTTAGTAATAACTATGGGCTTAGCTTTTACTGTGACTAACTAGAGGTGCTCTCTTTAACCCCTTTTACATGAAAAGTGGCACAGAGGTCATCTGCTTAAGTGTTTGTTTCCTAGACAGAGGCGTCTGTCGAGCCACTGCATGCATGCTCTGTGTAAGAAACTGCCAAATTGTCAATGAAACAATGCAAGTGTAAAGTGCTGATCCAGGAGGAGCAAATCCTGCAAAGTCAATGAATGGATGCAGTCAGCTGGTGTTCCATAGATAGAAATCTCTTAACCTCTTACACCCTCAGGCGGTATAAATAAATTTCTGCCTGACAAAAACACACAAAAGTAAATCACTTATAGCCTCACAGCTATTAGATTTAAGAAGAAACTTTTGGTACGTCTGTAAAGGTAAGATGTCATAGAATGGTTTTCTGGTGTCAGCACCATTGTAGCTTTGACCCTGCCTGAAATATTAGGGACAAAATACAAAATATTTTGCATTTTTTGAACCTCGCCAAAATTTTCTTTGAAATAAACATTGCAAAACACTACCAAAATATTATTTATAGCACAAAAAAGTAGTACAGACTTTTAAATCTAAATGTTGTGTAAAAATATACCAAATTTGGACTCAATCAGATGAATCATATTTATTTTAGAATGGTATTAGTGAGAAATTTCTTAGGCGGAGAGGCCATTTTGGCACATTTATCCAAAAATGTCACCAAACTGTGCCAAATGTGTTTTTTACATCAATATTGGGGGTTTGTTAAAATTACGAGGTCACGTAGCAGCTGGACCCACCGGTGGGTCCGTAGGGTTCTAGGGGTTAACTAATCTAATTGCATGATTTGACTAAATCATGTCAATAAAGTGTCATCATATGACATATGTTTAGAATAGGCACTAAACGTTTAAGCAGAATTGAAGTCAGTAGTGATTTCCGGGTATCTTTGGGAAATATCTTTCCGCTCCTCGTAAAGTATGATACAGTCTCACTGTATAATAATCTTTAATTTATACAATTATGTTCAAGAAGAAAATAAAATCTCTGCAGACATTCTTTAGCAGAGATGCCCAGAGATGCCCAGACTTCCCGATCCACACAAGCCTCCAGCTGCTCTGGGGGGACCATGAGGCGACACCAGGCAAGCTCAGAGATATAGTCCCTCCAGCGTGTCTTGGGCCTACCACCAGGCCTCCTCCTATTGGGACATGCCTGGAACACCTCCTGAGGGAGGTGAGCAAGAGGCATCCGGAACGGATGCTTAAGTCTCCTCAGCTGGCTCCTTTAGATCAGACTGGGCTCCTGAGCGGACTGGGTGGTGGTCGAGGCGGGGTGCCTCCACGGCCCGGTCCGCATGCGCAGCTTCTGGACATGGAGCGTAATTTTACCTAAAATAATATATTTAACAAATGTCAGAGGTTTAAAAATAAAAATAAGAAATCAAACAAGGCTGTTATTTTAAATTGTTTACACGTGCATGGAGGCATGCACTCAGTGGAGGGATCTCATGCCAATGCCGCCCTAAGGCAAAGCCGCCCTGGGCGTCTGCCCATATAGCCCATACCAGAAACCGCTACTGATGACGTATTTGTTCAGCTTATAAATACTTTAACACTAATAAACGTTCCTTCAGAGAAAAAAAAAATTATATGAAGCTAAAACCTACATTTTTAAGCATAAATGAATTGCAGAAAAATATTTCTAGCATTTCTGTCTTTTGCTTTTTGAAATTCTGTTAGTTTTTTTGCAGCATTAATTTAATCATTAAAATGATAATAATTATTGCTGTTATTATTAACATAAGTCACTTTCATATAGCCTAAATATGTCCATATTTTTTCTAAATGTTTTAAATGTATTTATTACTTTTTTTCAATACAAAACTTTATTTAAAAGTTGCTTATTACAAAACATATCACAAGCTATAGAACAGTATCTCCAAAATATCAAAAATTTGCATTTTTTTTTTTTTTTTCAAACAACTTTATTTGTTTCTGCAAAGAACAATACAGAGCAACCACATTGCACTATAGGAATTCACGACAACCATTATTTACAGACATTTTCAACAAGTGTAAATTCACATTTTTACCAGTCAAGTAAATGAACTCGTTTTGTGCAAAACAAGAAACAATAAGGAAAAAAAAAAAACTAAGATCTTACATTTATTAAACAAAAATTAACGCTAAGGGGAAACAGCACTCTAAATAATATTGAAAAGGACAAAGGCTTTTCGAGTTTTTAAATATGTTCAGCCAAATATGTTTTGGATATTGAAGGGTGAAGACGTCACAGGGTGGGGTTTCCGTACAGCTGACGGGGTGACGTCATCGGCAGGGTTTTCCTCCTCGCGGGGCGGCAGTGAGCTCAGAGATTATAGCCCCAGATTAGCGCTGCTGTGCCGGAGCGCAGGAAGCCCGGAGACCGCCTCAAACCGCCAGCAAACCCCGCAGCAGAGGCCCCGTCCTCCGAGGAGCTCAGACCCGCTGCTGGTGGATAAAGGAGCGGAGGAGGAGCCGCTCCTCAGCCTCTGCGGAGGAACACATCCGCCGCTGGAGGGGTAAGTGCTGCTGCAGACATGACAAGCATTTAAATCCTATCTCAGTGTTAGAACTGCGCAGATAAACTGGGTGGAAATGTGGATGTTAGTCAAAATCGTCTGAAAGATAAACAGAGCAGAGGAGGAATGTGTTCATGTGGACCGTTAGATGCAGGGAGGATTCAGCAGCAGAGCAGCTGGATGTCTGACAGCAATCCTCTCAGATTCTATATCTGTATCCAGTTAAACACCTCCACCGTTTCAAATCACCATATGGTCATTTTTCAGTGATCAGAAAAACAAACCCATTAAAATAATAACAAGGCATATTGTTAATTCAGTTAAATTCAGTTTATTTCTATAGCGCCAATTCACAACACATCATCTCAAGGCACTTTACAGTTCACCAGATCCTACAGTCCAATTGATTCAGTTTTCTATCTAAGGAAAACCAGCTGATTGCATCGACTCATTGACTCTTCAGCAATCCCTCACACTAAGCATGCTTGTAGTGACAGTGGAGAGGAAAGATCCCTTTTAACAGGAAGAAACCTCCAGCAGAACCAGGCTCAGTGTGAGCGGCCATCTGCTGAGGCTGACTAGGGTTCAAACAGACAGAAGCAGACATAGAAAATGAAGCATAGATACAAAAGGCAACTGCAAAAGGCGCCCCTTCCAGGAAACACACAGCCAGTCAGACAAGCTCCAAGCCAGCTCCCATGTCAGAGGATGAAGAGAGCACATCCAGTTAGTCACAGTCAGAGAAACAGGACTACACTGGAAAACAGGCCGACCTCCAACATCTATAAACAAAGGTGTTGATGGCAGCAGCACAGCTGATGTTTCTCTCCAGGATGGAGTCACAGCCAAACAGGAACAGACTATGAGAAAAAGCAGAGAGAGCAGAACGTTAGAGATTGAACTAACAGATTCTGCAGAGTGGGAGAATAGAGATAGAATGAAGCAGAATGATGAAATGGGGGTCCCTATGTCCTCCAGCAGCCAAAGCCTATAGCAGCATAACTATAGAGATAGCTCATGATAACCTGAGCCACTCTAACTAGAAGCTTTATCAAAAATGAAAGTTTTAAGCCTAGCCTTGTTATTGTTATAATGTTATTATAATAAAATATTGAATCCTCCAACTCCCCATTTAGGATGAAACTGGATATTAGATATATGAATAAGACTAGATATACGAAGCTGATGTTAAGTATAAGGCCAGATTTTGGGACCATGTAGCAGAGGTGTCAAGTAACGAAGTACAAATACTTCACTCTAGGTATCTATTTTTTAGTCCAGGGGTCTTCAACGTTTTCAAAGCCAAGGACCCCCAAACTGATTGTGAGATGGAGCGGGGACCCCCTAATTATATATATTGTATGAAATTGTGTTACATCAAACTGGTCCTACAGTCACTCTATTACAGATGGAGTAATGTAACTAAAGTAATCCCTCCCTGGGATTATTAAAGTATTTCTGATTCTGATTCCTGGTTGATGGGACAGGTGTTGTGAATGAAATGGTGTCCAGCTTGAAAGAGCTCCTGTGTGTCGCTGAATGTGAGCATTGATGACTGAAAGACATCTTCTGCCTCCATTTATCTGTTTACTACAGTCTGTTCAATTCATGTTAATGTGGATTTAAAGACATTTTAATTAGTGCAAAAAATTGCAGGAGGGAATATGAAAAAAAGTAATCAACCAAGACTTTCGGGATCCCCATGCCGTACCTCCGCGGACCCCCTAGTTGTTGCGGACCCCCTGTTGAAGACCTCTGCTTTACTCCATTACGTATTTTTCTTCCTACTTCAAAATTCTCTTCGTTACATTTTCACACAAGGATCTGAAGTTTCTATTCCTTACATTTTTAAAACAAACGTTACTCGTTACTCTTGGCTTCGGTTTAATGTTTCTAAATCTTTATTTCCCGTCATGTCCTCCATCCAATGCAGATCATTGGCTCCCCCCAAATCTAGTGAAAACTAGTGTGATTGGATGAGTCATATAACGCAAACACTCATTGGTTAGCTAAAGAAATCATCAGAAGCAAGCAGGTGTTCTTCAAACTGCTAACGTGAATTGTCTATGCCATGCTACAATGTGGGATTCAGAAAAAGATGTTGAAATGTCTGAAAGGTCGGACACAGGCGAGAGCGTATCGGCAGACGGAGACCAACAAGACCTCCCTCATCCATGGCCCTATCTCAGAGAATCTTTAGAAATAGTCGAAAAATTGAGCTTTCAGTTCATATAGTAGCATCTGGCTGTTTTTATATTTTAAGTAGTTTTTTGAGCACATACTTTTTCACTTATACTTGAGTAAAGAGGTCAAGTTGATACTTAAGTGTTTTTTTTAACTGCAGTATACGTGTGACACCACTGCCATGTGGGAGTTGGTGACGTTTCTCCAGAATCATATAACCTGGAGGAAAAGTTTCACAAACACTGCAGCTGAGAAACAAGAACTGTTTCCTGCGCTTTGTGGGTTTTCTAGATAACATCTGATAACACCTGATGAGGGGTTGTAATGGCTTGTTATCTCTGTGGTGTTTGCTTTGTGAGCAGCAGCTGCAAAGAAGCATCAGCTGGGATTCAGTGGATGAAGACAGTCTTCATGCCTCTTGATGTGTTTGGCTTTTTGACGTAAAGAATGAGATTATGAGTAAACATTTCACAGCGTTTTTTTCCTCTTCACCGGTATCCTTTATTACCTGCCTGAAAACTAACAAATCTATCATCTGGGCAAAGTGAATAAGAACAGGAGATCCAATAGAGGTAACAAACGTATTCTCTTTTTTTTTAATGTGGCACAAAGTTCCTCCATGGCAAAATTAGATATTTTCTCAGAACTCAAAGTCTTCTTTTTTTCAACCGTCCTCCTTCGCACAGACATGCTGATTAAAGTTATAGAGGACAATCTTTTATTTCCGGGTGGATCATCTAAATAAGTGGTCCTCCTAATTGTCAATCATTCTGATAATATGTTTACGTAAGGCCGTCCTACGTGCTCGTCCTGTTAGCTAACTTTTTCTGCGCATGCGCGCTTTCAGGCGCATATCTGTGGTGAGCTACGGTTTCAGACAGTCATTGAAGCTGAGCTTTCTCATTCTTAAGAGAAAAAGTTTTTGAGAAGAAAAGAAAGGCCTCAGAAGAGGCAGGTATATCCCAGAATGCTTTGCGCAGAGCGCTGTCCTAGCAAAGCATTATGAGATTTGCTGTTACATCGGCTCACTGTTCCTAAACGACAGTGGTGACTAATTACAAAGATGGCGCAGGCACCGCGCTCTGGTAGAGGAGTTATGTGACCAACAGGGACCAAAAAGCAGTGATCATCTGTTCGAACGGTCAGTTAACTGAGTTTGCTATAAGGTCCAATATATAGGCCCCGCTCTATATATTGATTGAGGGATTTAGGGGTTAGGGCAGACATTCGGGCACAGTAAGCTTGTATGAGCTATCAGAAAAGCAACTTTTAAACAGAGCCTGTACAAGGAGAAATGTACGGAAGAGGATTAGGGCCACTGGAAAAAAAAAATTTTTAATTTTATTTCAGTATAGTATGGGGAAAAAAGTCAGAATTCTGACTTTAATCTCAGAATTCTGACTTTAATCTCAGAATTCTGACTTTTTTTTATTGTAGAATTCTGATAAAAAGTCAGAATTCTGACTTTAATCTCAAAATTCTGACTTTAATCTCAGAATTCTGACTTTTTTTTATTGTAGAATTCTGATAAAAAGTCAGAATTCTGAGAAAAAAGTCAGAATTCTAAGAAAAAAGTCAGAATTCTAAGAAAAAAGTCAGAATTCTGAGATTAAAGTCAGACTTCTAAGAAAAAAGTCAGAATTCTAAGAAAAAAGTCAGAATTCTGAGATTAAAGTCAGACTTCTAAGAAAAAAGTCAGAATTCTAAGAAAAAAGTCAGAATTCTAAGAAAAAAGTCAGAATTCTGAGATTAAAGTCAGACTTCTAAGAAAAAAGTCAGAATTCTAAGAAAAAAGTCAGAATTCTGAGAAAAAGGTCAGAATTCTAAGAAAAAAGTCAGAATTCTGAGATTAAAGTCAGACTTCTAAGAAAAAAGTCAGAATTCTAAGAAAAAAGTCAGAATTCTGAGAAAAAGGTCAGAATTCTAAGAAAAAAGTCAGAATTCTGAGATTAAAGTCAGAATTCTAAGAAAAAAGTCAGAATTCTGAGAAAAAGGTCAGAATTCTAAGAAAAAAGTCAGAATTCTGAGATTAAAGTCAGAATTCTTAAGAAAAAAGTCAGAATTCAATCAAATTTAAAAATCAGTAAACTCTTTTTTTTTTTTCCAGTGGCCCTAATCCTCTTCCGTAGAAATGGTTAAAATGGTTTAAAAAGTGATTTAGTGGGGGGGGAAAAAAGTATTTAACTATCCTTCCCAGTTAAATAAACGGAGATCGATGGATTTCACTCTGTCACCACTTTATTTTACATCTTTGCAAAGAGAGAAAAGTTCATCATAAGGCCGTTACAGCACAGTAATCAGACCTGCTCTGATCTAGACAGAGTTTGCCTCCCCTACTTATAATGAGAAAAAAAAAACTGTGAAGGTTGTGTCAGAGTCAAAACAAATAAAACACACTTGGGTTAAACAATAACAATTCTCGAGAAATAATTTGGCTTGTTATGGGATAAGTATTCCTTGTATGCAAAACACTTCTCACATTTTGCGGCCTTGCAGGTGAAACAGACTGAGTAAAAACATTTTTAACTGGATGAATAGCATAAATGAATATATGAGACAATTTTCCGACCACAGTGGAGAGGGCAGGTCTTTTAAAAAATGTGCGTAAAACCTCCACAATATCTTTAATGCACAAAAGCAGTGGTGTGTCAAGTTATCTTTAAGAAGAACTAGTTCTAAACCTGGTCCAGCAGGGTTAAACCAAACTTAATTTGTTGATAGAACTAAGTTTAAAGTAGAAACAGGAACTAGTTCTAGTTCATTTATTTCAACTCTCTACTCTCCTGTCTACCTTTCTTGGAAAAAATGTGTTCCTC